TACCAGGCAGCAGGCTGGCGTGCAGTGGCGTGATCTCGGCTCACTGCAACCTCCACCTCCTGGGTTCAAGCAATTCTCCTGCCTCAGCCACCCGAGCAGCTAGAACTACAGGTGTGCACCACCGCGCCAGCTAATTTTTTGTATTTTTTAGTAGAAGCGGGGTTTCACCATGTTGGCCTGGATGGTCTCGATCTCTTGACCTCGTGATCTGCCCGCCTTGGCTTCCCGAAGTGCTGGGATTACAGGCGTAAGCCACAGAGCCTGGCCTGATTCATGTTTTAAACATTATGCTTTGATAGCCAGACTAAGAGGACTTTTGCTCTTTTGGTAGCAAATCCCAGAGCTTCAAGTAGAATTGATCATCCCCTTTTATACTTGAAAAATGAAGAGGCGTCAGTTCTTTAAAACAGAATACCAGTTGGACTTGTCTGTGTTCTGTAGTAGCTTTCTCTATTACTGTTACTTTCTGTAGGAAGATTTTTCATATACCAGGGTACATGCTTCAAGTTTAAATAACGTCTCCTTTGGTAGTTTCTGTGGAGATGATCTCTTATTACATCCATCCATTCATTAAGTGTATATTGCACTTAGGTTCCCAGGCTCTGAGCTAGGTACGAGAACTATCAAATGAAGACTGAGAGGTTCCTAAAATAGTGTCCCTTACATTACAACATCATGACTGCTATAAAGAAGCATATATAGAGTTAATAATAAATGGTAATACATTATTTTTCTCTGCGTTGGGGAAACTGAGAGGATGGGAGGGCATTTCATCTGAAGAATGTAGGGATGACTGAGCTGAGAAGGCATGGAAGGGCATTCCAGCCCCAGGGAACTACACGGACAAAGCGATTGAGGTATGACCACCTGAGGAGTTACGCACGTTGAGGTTCCTCTTCTTGCATATCTTGTATTTGGATTTTCAGGTTTCCTTTTTCGTTTGTTTTTGGACAGTTCTGTTTGCTGTGTCTCCTTCTTCGGAAAGTACTTGCAGGATCAGCTGTTTTGGGAGACGGTAGAAAATACAGACAAGAACATTTTCCTCACTTTTTAAAATGGATTAACATATGGAGGAAGTGGGATAATTTTGATTTTGTCTTAGTCAAAATAGCCTGTTTTAAATATTTCGTTGGCTGGGCATGGTGGCTCATGCCTGTAATCCCAGCACATTGGGAGGCTGAGGCAGGAGTGTGGCTTGAAGCCAGAGTTGGAGAGCCGTGCAGGCAACATAATGAGACCCCTGTCTCCACCCCCCCCCCACACCCACCCATACACATACAGAAACACAAAGAAACAAAACACAAAACAGACAGACAAAACTGGGCATGGTGGTGTGTGCCTTGGGAGGCTGAGGCAAAAGGATTGCTTGAGCCCGAGAGGTCAAGGCTGCAGTGAGCCAAGATCGCGCCACTGTACTCCAGCCTAGGCAGAAGAGTCAGAACTTGGCTCAAAAAGAAAAAAAGATTTTGTAAATGTTCTTTACTAATGGACCAGACCCAGTGGGAGGGGTAGCTTGAGTCCATTCCATGAATGAAATGGAATGAATACTAAACTGGACCTGATGGGGCCACTGGCAAGGGCCCTGTGGAGACGCTGATGGAGGTGGGCACTGTCGCAGGATGAAGCCTGGCAGCACAGTTTCATGTTGATGAAAATAAAAGCCTGAGCCAGGCATGGTGGCTCACGCCTGTAAACCCACCACTTTGGGAAGCCAAGGTGGGCGGATCACCTGTGGTCAGGAGTTTGAGCCCAACCTGGCCAACACATCAAAATCCTTGTCTCTACTAAAAATACAAAAATTAGCTGGGCATGGTGGTGCATACCTGTAATCCCAGCTACTTGGGAGGCTGAAGCAGGAGAATCTCTTGAACCTGGGAGGCGGAGGCTGCAGTGAGCCGAGATTGCACCACTGCACTCCAGCCTGGGTGACAGAGTGAAACTCCATCTCAAAAAAAGAAAAGAATAACAACAAAGAAAAGAAAAGCCTGTGTGAAAAGCCTTAGCATTAGCACTCCTGGCAGAGACAGCTGTCGTGTGTGCCTCTGCTTTCTCAGCTGTTTGATGTAGGTGACAGGCGGACAGGAGAACAATCGAGCTTTTTCTTCTGGTTGAATTTGAGTTTTCTCTTTCATTTGTGGGTTATTGTTTGAAAAGAAGTGTATGCACATTCTCCGCTCTGTCAGCATCTTCCTTCCCAAGTTTTGAAGCGTGTCACGGGTTGCTAGGAGATGGCTGAACTTTTGAAAGCTTTTTATTATGCGTGCTTGAAGACGGGGAGAGATGCTCCTTGTTGAGGGAAAGGTGCTTAGCATTTGGCTAGAGAAGATGGTGCCTGCTTCCCTGACCTTCCCACAGCCTCTTGAGGCTGGTATGCAGGGGGAATATGAGTTCTCCCTGCTCCTCTCTGTGGCTTACTTTGTAGTAAAAATCTTGTGTTCTTGTGAAAATGATTGACATGAACAGTTTTGTCAATCAAGGAAAATGACCAAGGCAAGTCTCAATCATTTCAGGAGGTTTTATTTGCTTAAGTTAAGGCTGGGTGCCTGGGAGACAGGTCTATGCCTTTCTCCTAAGTTGATTTTGAGTTCTTCAGTATTTACAGGGGAAAGGGCAGGATATGAAGAAATACGCAATTTTCATGTGAGAGGTGGGTAAATAGTCATTCATGCCTTTGTCTGGCTCAGTGAATCTGCATTTCTACATAAAATAACGTAGACCGTAGGGCAGAGGAAACAATCAGATATGCATTTGTTTCGGGTGGACAAAGAGATGACTTTGAGTTCTGTCCTATGTCCCCCGCACCTGTGAAGATAAACTATTAATTGACATTACCAGGTAGAACTTTAACAGAAATGTTTTAGGGTAAAGAACCTGGGGCTCACGAGGAGTTTCCTCGTGGGCAAAATATGAGGGAGGTATGTAGCTTTTCATCTTGGTCGCCGTCTTATTTAGGGACCCAAATCGAGGCAGGCTTGCATGACCCAGTTGCCAGCTGGACTCTTCTCTTTGGCTTAGTGAGTTTGGGGTCTCAAGATTTATTTTCCTTCCACAGTTTCATTGCAAAAAGTGCAAAGGTCGCAGTGATGGGAGACACAGACAGCTTCCGCAGCTTGCGGAGCCATTGTCTGACCTTGGACATGATGGCGTATATTCCTAGAGTGAAGGAATGTCGTGTGTTCCTGTAACGCACAAGGAGGGAGAGCAAGCTAGCATTTATTAGCCTCCTGCTGTGTGCCGTGAATGCATTCATTTCATTCTCACATCGACCTTCAGACTGGGCATTGTGATCTTTTAAAAATGAGTGCTTGGGTTGGGAGAGAAGAGATGATTTGCTAAGATCATCCAGCAGTGAGTGGAGGACCCCAGCACTGGCCTCCCCAGGGCCACAAGCTGTCTTTGCACCATGCTGCACTGAGTGGTTGGGGAAGGATGTGTGTTGACTGGCCCACCCCACCTTTCTTCTCACTTTTCTTATACTGCCTGGGTTGGGAGGTGGTCATGATGTCAGATGATTGGCCCAAATTACGATGCAGTCACAATCATGAGCATGAGCCCCAGGGAATGGAGGCATCAGGCATGACCTGGTTAGCGACGTGCTCCCTAAGTCATGGCTGGAAGACTCCACGTCTTTCTCTGCTGGCCTGTGTCTATTCACCCTGCTGCTGACGTCTCTATTGTGTTCAAAATGACACTTTCCTGACTGTTCCCAGAGCCTTGTTTGGTCTATAGGCAGCGGCCACATAAAGGCACAGTTGCCCTCTTCCCACCATGCGGTTTGGTCCAGGAACAGAGACAACTTTCTCAGCTGATGTTTTTGTTTTCTTTTCTCCTTGTCCCGGAGTCTGATCCTCAGATCCCAGCCTGAGTGTGCAAGCTTTTCCCGGAGTCTGATCCTCAGGTCCCAGCCTGAGTGTGCAAGCTTTTCCCGGAGTCTGATCCTCAGGTCCCAGCCTGAGTGTGCAAGTTTTCCTTTGCCTTTGGAGGGAGGCAGGAAATTCTCCCATCCTTGTGGATTCAGCCAGAGATGGCTTCTTTTCTTAAGTTCTTCCTTATCAGAATTTTCCCAGCAGGAGGTAGTGGTTCATGATGGAGGAGTTGGTTTCCTCACATCTGGAAAATAACCAATGGGGATGGCCCCAGCAGTGGTTTGCTGTGTGTGAAGCTTCTCTGTGGCTGACACCACATGGTGTCTCTGCATTTCACATCTGTGCAAGGTGGCTGGACATGCCGAGGTGCTGCAGACCAGCAGCACCTCCTGGACTAGCTCCTGGCAGAATCTCTGCTGGCTGAGAGGCACATTAGGGGAGTTATGCTGGACTTTGGATAGAAGCCTATTGTCCCTATTCCAGTTGGGACAACCTCTGAGAAATACCACACCCCAAGGGCAGGCAGTGGTCAAAAGGGGAGAAGAGTAAATCACCGTCAGCATCCCTGTTAGCCCAACTGTCCCGACCCAGGGCAGATCACTTTGTTAGTATAATAGTTTTTACTCTGTTAAGCAAAGGTCCCCACATTAAAAGGTTCTCAGTGAAATCTTAGGCTCAAACGATCCCGCAGCCACCCTCTGCCTCCCAGCACAGGTGGGATGCCCTTGGATGCATTTACTCTTGCCCCTTGCACGGTTGGAATAAAGTACTTCTGAAAACATCTCTTCTATTGATTCTGCAATACTTTTAAAAATTCCATTTCAGGATCAAGAACAGAGAACGCATGGTATGACCTAAGGTCTCCCGCTGGTGTGGAAAGGTGGCAGGCTGCCTTTGCAGCTTTGCTCAGGAGCTGGTGCCCTGGACAGCTGCTTCTCAGCACTCCAGAGGAGCTCCCTCTGGCTGTAATCACCCACCAGCCTCCTCTGTATGAACAGCAGGGGTGAAACTCTTGACGTTACTTCTTCCTCCACTGAATATGCCAGATTCTCTATCTTCTGAGGAATAATTGAAGTCTTAATGCAGTGTATGTAAGCAAAATTACCTAAAACTCTGAAATTTTTCGTACAACAGTTTCATCTGGAAGACAGGCCATTGAAACCCAGCATTTGTGTTCAAGGAAGAAAATGTATCCAAGTCACAAAGAAGTATAATTTGGCTTTTGGAGACATGGGCAGCTTCATTTCTCATTTGTTCATTCAAAACTCTCCACTGGGCTTCTAAATGCCACACCTTGTCCAGAATGATGAAAGATACAGAAAATGGTCCCTGCTGACCTTCTGGAGTTATTGACTAGTGAGAAAGGTAGGTGAGATTCCCAGGTTTCTACCAAGAATTAATAAAATACAATCCCAGTAATTAAAGTGATGCAGTATAATGCAAGGTGCTGAGTAGTTAATAAGGGAGTGAAGATGAAAGGTAAGGAAGAGTTAGCTGAGCAGGGAGGGAAAGAAGAAAGCAAAGCCAGGAAAGAGCAGGAGGCTCAAGAACTGAAAGGGGGCCATGTGCAGTGGCTCATGCCTCTATTCCCAGCACTTTGGGAGATGGAGGTAGGCGGATCCCTGGAATTCAGGAGTTCAAGACCAGCCTGGATAACATAGCAAAACCTCGTCTCTACAAAAAATACAGCATTTCACTGGGCATGGTATGCATGTCTGTAGCCACTTGGGAGGCTGAGGCAGGAGGATTGTTTAACCCTGGGAGGTGGAGGTTGCAGTGAACCAAGATGGCACCACCACACTCCAGCCTGAGTGACAGAGTGAGACCCTGTCTCAAAAACGCAAAAAACAAAGCAAAGCTCCATACAGCTGAAAGGGAAGAAGGCTGTCCTGATGGCCAAGAGGAGGCAGGGAAGTCACCTGGAGCAACAGGACATGGACAGCCAACTGAAGGAGTCTTTGGTTGTCCTCTTAAGGATTGCTAAACTTGTTTGTCAAGAAGAAAATCTCTAGCCTTGTAGAGTTAAGATGGCTTCACGTAGCACAGTTAAATCAGAGCGCTGGATATTACTTCCATTGCCCCTTGTTTAGGATGCCTCATTTAAATAGAAATCCAGCAGGCCAGTTTCTAGAATGATCAGACTCCCTTGTTTTAATTAATTAATTAAATATTTGGTTCTAGGGCCTCAGTCTCCCGAGTGGCTGGATTACAGGTGTGTGCCTCCACGCCCGGGTAATTTTTGTATTTTTTGTAGAGACAGTGTTTCGCTGTGTTGGCCAGGCTGATTTTGAGCTCCTGAGCTCAAGTAATCCACTGACCTCAGCCTCCCAAGTGGTGGGATTACGGGCATGAGTCATCATGCCCAGCCTCTTGTTTAAAATCTTCCTCTTCTTCCCCCAACCCTTTGCCTGTGGTTTGCATGCTGAATTCCTGTCACTCTCAAATTCTTCATGGATACCTTACTGAAGCAGCCTAGAGCCTAGGGGTCTACCAGTAGGGCCACAAGCTTCTGGAATAATCTGGGAGAAGATGTTCTTTGGGAGAAAGTGCTCGTCTTTGTTTCCAAGGTGTTTTATGTGGGGTTAAAGGTACCATCTTCCTTCTATTTCACTAGATATAGACAGTTACAAAGGTTTTACAGAATTTTTATTCTGTGCTGCTTGCACAGAATAATCGGCAGCCCTATTAATGATGTTCTGGTGATCCTCTTTTGCTGTGGTATTCATTTGTTTTGTTTAGTTTTGGATTAGAAGAAAGACCTCAGTGTTTTGATTCTTAGTTTATTGGGCAATCAAAGGCTTACTTTAAAAAAAAAAGCCCATTGTAGACTGGCCTTCTTAAATCTATGAGCACCCTATTTTGGCACTGTCAGCAAGTGGTTCAATAAAATCGTTCAGTCTTATTTGAGTTATTAAGCAGAAAAGAATGCATCAGAGATGTAAATGCCTTGGGTTTTAAAACTATTGACTGTGCTTTTGGCTGCTCAGAGATTGGGAGCTGCAAGTAAATGTACTTAAGTTAAAAAAAAATAAACTAGAGCTTCAGCAGGGGTAGATTGTAGAGTGAGGTGGGGGGCAGAGCCTGAATGGGGCCAGACCCTCCTAGCATGTCTGCCTTCTCTTTCTTATTGTCTGAATCTGAGTCCCAAGGCTGGGTGAGGTAGTCTTCTCCATGTCAGGGGAGAGTAAGCGTCTAGGAGGTGGCTGGGCGTGGTGGCTCACGCCTGTGATCCCAGCACTTCAGGAGGCTGAAGTGGGTGGATCGCAAGGTCAGGAGTTCGAGACCAGCCTGACCAATATGGTTAAACTCCATCTCTACTAAAAATACAAAAATTAGCTGGGCATGGTGGCAGGTGCCTGTAGTCCCAGCTACTTAGGTGACTGAGGTAGGAGAATTGCTGGAACCCAGGAGGCAAAGGTTGCAGTGAGCCAAGATCGTGCCACTGCACTCCAGCGTGGGTGACAGAGTGAAACTCCATCTCAAGAAAAAAAAAAAAAGAGCCTAGGAGGTTAAGTGTATCTTCCTAGCATGAAGCGCAGTGGATAGGTTGGAAGAGCACAGCACTTCCCTCTTGTGGTGAGTTCTGGGGGGGGCAAGTCTGGCCCTCCATATAGTTGAGGGAAACCTCCATGGACACTCTCCATGACCAGTGCCATACCGTACACGGCAACTGCTCAATAAATGCTGGGAGATGATCTTTGCTGTGGACTGAATAGTGTCACCTTAAAATTCCTACGTTGAAGCCCTGACTCCCAAAGGGATGGTGATTGGTGATGAGGACTTTAGGAGGTGAGTGGGCCCAGTGAGGTCCTGAGGGTGGAGCCCTTGTGATGGGATGAGAGTCCCTGTAGGGAGAGGAACCAGGGCTGTCTCTCTGCCATTGTGAGAACACATCTGCAGGAAGCCAGGAGAGGCACTCGCCAGCACCAGCTGTGCGCTCTGCTAGCACCCTGATCTCAGACTCCAGTCTCCAGTGCTGTGAAAAAATACATTTCTGATATGTAAGCCACCCAGTGTGTGGTATTTTGTGGTGGCAGCCTGTAGTGACTGAAGCAATTCTGAAAATGCCTTCCAGGTCTAAACTCTAGTTCTGAGACCAGTGATCACGTGTACAAATCCCTGTTGCTTTCCCTCCTCGTCACTTAGTTTGATTGGAGGCTTCTCTGTTGTATCGATGAATGGGACAGAGAGGCCTTGTCGGACTCCAGACTCATGGGTCCACAAAACCCTCACAAGGACCGTGGACCCCTTGACGTCCTCTGCCAGAGTCCACACTGCTCACATGCTCCTCTAGGCCGCTCTGAGCTGCCCTGCCTGTCTCCAGCCTCCTTTCCCAGCTTTCCCTCTGCACACTGTGCTGTTTCTGGAACCCACAGGGCCCTTCTGGATTCCCTGCCTCTGCCTGCCACCCTCCCTGGAGCAGGTCTCCCTGAATATCCACCGGTGGGACCTCTGTTCTCTCCCCTGACCTGTTAAAGAAAAGCCAGAGCTGGACAGGAGGTAGAGGGTGAAGACAGATTCTATTCAGGAACTATTGCAGTAGGGGAAAGAGACCTCAGTATAGAGCCGGGCTGAATTCTGAATACAGCATGGACAAGTGGGGGTGTGCAGCCCAGAAGCAGGCGCAAGGCTTGGCAGGTGGAAAGTTTCTAAGAGGAGATCCCAGGGATTCTGAGGGGGGATTCTGGCTAAACCCACCTTGCAGGAGCCAGACCAGGGTGGCCAGATACCAAGGATGGAAGATGAGAAACTGATCAGATAGTGACGGTGGGGATCTGAAGGCAGACCAGGGTGGCCAGACACCGAGGGTAGAGGATGAGGAACCGATCGGACAGTGACGGTGGGGGATCCTGGCCAAGCCAACTTTGCAGGATTCCTGCCTAAAACTGGGCAGTGCAGAAACAGACATGGAGATGCAAAGGTGAAGGCCTGGTTGGGACGAGGATCCAGAGCTACCCGCCTGGAGTCTCCATCAGACCTCACACACCACCCTGCTATGTCGGGCCCCAGTTACTGCTTGGCTCATGCTGTGAACCCTGAACCCCGCAAAGATTTGTCGTCTTCCTCATGGAACCCCCTAGCACCTGGACCCTCCTGCCCCAGGGGAGGTAGTTGGAAGAGGCTTCCCGAGGCAGTGGAAAGGCCTGGGCTGAAGGTGCAGGGCTCTGTTCCTCAACTGAGGGACAAAATAGAACAAATGCAAGTGATTTCTCTTGGTAGCCAAGTCACAAGTGCCACTACTGTGGGTCAGGGCTCCCTCCTCAGAAATTCCTGTTAAAGCCCTAACCTGCACTATCTCAGAATGCAGGTGACATGAAAGTCCTTCCAATGGGGCAGGTTCCTGCCTTCACCGGTCAGCTGCAAAAGGTGCACACAGGCTGCTCCCGAGGCTGTGTGGCCAGGGCAATGCCTCATGGAGCTTCCTGTGGCTGCAGCAGCAGCAACTGTGAGCTTGAAAGGGGACGATGAATGAGACTTTTGTCCACAGTTCTTGGTTGAGCTGCCATGAGCAGATGGGAAAGGCTGAGAGAGAAACTATTCCTCCCTGGGTGGGGATGCTTGAAATTCCCTTCTAGCTAAGGGGAGGCCACGGGCACCCTGTTCACACCTGTGTGCATATGCCAGTGCCTGGCTTGCTGGTGACCAGCAAGTGTCCCAGCTGAGCCAGGGGCCCTCTCCCATGGTTCTGGGCGAGCGGCCGCAGGATGCCGAGGGATGGTTCAAATATCAGTTAGATGGGGGAGTGGTGGAAATAGACTTGACAATTTATTTTGCTTAGTAGAAAAAATTTAAAAATTGTCAGCTACTTTCATCGTTTTAAAATAAGATTAAAACATGTATTTTCAAAAAAAAAAAAAAAAGGTAAAAATGTGCAGCTCACCGTGTCTTACTTCTACCACCCCGGCAGAGAGTGAGCTGGTTCTAGAAAGCTCCATTTTCATTTCATGTTGCTTTTGGTGAACGTATTTAGGACAGAATTTTGGCAATGAAATTTTGAGGTGCTCTTTTGGCCATCAAAATAACCAGGTCTTGGCTGGGCACGGCAGCTTGGCCTTGTAATCCCAGTGCTTTGGGAGGCCAAGGCAGGGCGCTGCTTGAGCCCAGGAGTTTGAGACCAGCCTAGGCAACATAGTGAGACTCCATCTCTACAAAAAATACAAAATTAGAAGAGTGTGGTGGCATGTTTCGGTGGTCACAGCTACTTGGGAGGCTGAGGCGGGAGGATCACTGAGCACAGGAGTTCAAGGCTGTAGTGAGCTATGATTGTGCTACTGTGCTCCAGCCTAGAAGACAGAATGACATCAGGTCTCTGAAATAAAAGTAAAATTAAAAAACCCAAACCAACCCTGTTTTCACTCTGTCCTTTCTGTCCTCTCACCCAGGATAACATTTCTAAGGTGTCGCTATTGAGTTAAGAATTGGATTTATTCTCTGTGTTAAATTCTCTCAGCATTAACTGTAGACTCCATCATGTAAATAAGATAAATTATCAGGGTGAGAAGTTAGATTCTAATCTATGAGTTTACTGTGTCTCTTTAAAAAGCTACTAGGTGCTATCCTAACTCGTTAGACTTGAAGGATTCTGGGGGTTGGCATATTGTTACTGTTTTGGACTTTGTTTGCCTTGATCATACCCATTTTACAGATGAAAAAAGTAAGGCTGGGGTTGGGGCTCAAATGCATGCTCCAAGTCACATAAGTAGGTGGGAAGGTGACACGATAGACGCAGTAAACTCTGAAGGCCTGCTGGTAAGGCACGAGTGATTTGAATGATACTCTTTTTTTTCTTCTTTTTTTTTTTTCCTAGTGATTCCTGACAGAATCATCATTTTTGGTAAACAAACCAAGCCCAGAACCTGATAAGTGTGGACCATCCTATGCTGACAGTTCCTTGAAACAAATTTCCTCTTGGCATTTACACTGTGGCTTCAACTTTCAAACCAGAGCTTCCTCTTAGCCAGCAAAAAGTGAGTTATACGCTTTCTTAATGTTATAACGTTACCATGGATGATCCCGAACTCGTGGAGGATAGCAGAGACGGGTGGGCAGAAGAGGAAAGAATCAGATCGGAGACTGTAAAAAGTCACGTTAAAAACATAATAATTCTGGCAGAGACGGAATTCGAAGGTACTTGTGCAAATCGGAACACTAGACTTGCTTCTTTTTGGGAAGGGAATGCCGCTTCATTAGATCAGGGAAGAATGCAGGCAGCCCGTGCGTTTAGTCCACAACGTGTGCTTTCCAGACTCGCAGCCTGTCTATTTGCACTTCGTCATGGAGTCATAGAAGGGCAGAGCTGGAGGACCCGGTGAGGGGCCTGGTCCCATCTCCTTACAGACAGGAAATCCGAGACCCCCATACACCAACAGCTGCTGGCTGCAGAGCCAGGACCAATGCCCAGAATCTCTGAGCTTTTTATCTTACACCACAAAGTGACAGGTGCTAGCAGATGTCACACCTCTGGGCTTAACTGTTTAAGCACGGCCCTGGACTTCCGTATTCAGCAAGGTTCTAGAGTTTCCAAAACACGGGTCTCCTCTCCCATCTCAGCTTCCTAGCATAAAACTAGACACATCCTCATGCTTTAGAGGTCTATTCATTGGATTTTGTTCCTTTCAGATGGCTTACCCGAAGATGAGATTGATGTATGTTTGCCTTCTGGTTCTGGGGACTCTTTGTTTGTATTTTAGCATGTACAATCTGAATCCTTTCAAAGAGCATCCCTTTGTTTACAAGAAAGAGTACGGTAACTTCCTGAAGCTCCCAGATACAGACTGCAGGCAGACACCCCCCTTCCTTGTCCTGCTGGTGACCTCATCTCACAGACAGTTGGCTGCGCGCATGGCCATCCGGCAGACGTGGGGGAAAGAGAGGATGGTGAAAGGAAGGCAGGTGAAGACATTCTTCCTCCTGGGGACCACCAGCAGTGTGGTGGAAATGAAAGAGGTGGACCAGGAGAGCCAGCGACATGGGGACATTATCCAGAAGGACTTCATAGATGTCTATTACAACTTGACCCTGAAGACCATGATGGGCATGGAATGGGTGTATCACTTTTGTCCTCAGACGGCGTTTGTGATGAAAACAGACTCAGACATGTTCATCAATGTCTACTATCTGATCGAACTGCTTCTGAAGAAAAACAGAACAACCAGGTTTTTCACTGGCTACTTGAAACTCAATGAGCTTCCCATCAGGACGCCATTCAGTAAGTGGTTTGTCAGTAAATCTGAATATCCATGGGACAGGTACCCGCCATTCTGCTCTGGCACGGGCTACGTGTTGTCTGGAGATGTGGCGAGTCAGGTGTACAATGTCTCTGAGAGCGTCCCGTTCATTAAACTGGAAGACGTGTTTGTGGGGCTCTGCCTGGAAAGGCTGAACATCAGACTGGAGGAGCTCCACTCCCAGCAGACCTTTTTCCCAGAGGGCTTGCGCTTCTCCGTGTGCCACTTCCGGAGAATCGTGGCCTGCCACTTCATCAAGCCCCAGAATCTCCTGGACCACTGGCAGGCCCTAGAGAATTCCCGGGAGGAAGATTGTCCGGCTGTCTGAGGTGAGCCCAGAGGCACTTCTGGACAAGTTTCAGATAACCTGTGGGATAGTTTTTGCAAGATTTTGGAAGAAGGAGTGGAACAGAGGGTGCTGATTTTTAGTGCTGAAATCCACGCCAGAATGTCGGTGTTCATGAAGCCACTGTGTGGTTCCCACTTGGTGTCCCAGGCAATAATAGACCCTGTCTCTTGGGCGTGCACACGCTACATACTGTTTGACATACACCTGCATTTCTGCATTTCAGGGGCCAGTATCCTAGGACATGATAGATGTTACCATCCGAATTTTACAGGTAGGGAAACAGCTGCTGAGAGGTACAGAAACTTGTCCCAAAGCTCACAGACAGCAAACATAAGAGCAAGAATGAAAATCGAGCACTGCTGGAATCTGACTTGGACCATTCCTACATGCTGCCTCCCTTAGGAGGGATAGTAACGATGAGACCTCTGAGCCATCATCCTTCTGTCCCTGTCCAGAGTCCCCTGTACCTCAGCTCCCAATCCTTGTGCTTTTTAGAGCTAAGCCTGGGATGATGAGACTCATCCCAGCTCCCTCATTCATGGGGCTGGATGTTTTGGGCACCAAGTCCATGTTATGGGCTCAGTACTCAACGCAACCCAAATTTCATCCCAGGAAATGTCCCAATAGTGGATGCAGCTCACACACTGAGGAACGCCAAGTTCTGGGCATTACAGCGTTCCTGAAAATGTATAAATTAGCCTCAAAACCACTGCAGTCTGGCCTGCTGTAAAGACTGCCCACACTGCTGACCTTCTTAGCGAGCAGGATGTCTCTTCTGAGCCATCTGCTGCCCCCAGGAACACTGTAGGGCTCTCAGTTCAAACTGAAGGGCAGTTGGACTCAGACATGGTTCATGAGGGACTCTGGGAGCCTTCTGGGAATTCAGTTGGATTTATGTCAAGATGCTCTCAAGGACCCTTCGGACACAAAGCCCCAAAGAGGGCCCTGGTGAAGCAGGGTGGTCCTGTGTCCGCTTCCCAGGCCTGACCCAAGCTCATCTTCACTGAGTTTCTCGTTTGGCCAAGGAACAACTGAACTTTGCGGTTTGGTGTTTAGCCTGCAGTTTACTCCGCTGCCTCCCGCCCAGAGGTTCGTGCAGGCCTGTCCTGCAGGGTTGTGTGAAACCAAGGCACTTCTTTGCAAGAGGTTTTGCCCATGCAGCCACGGTCACGTGACATGCAAAGCAATCTTGCTGCTCATTATAGAAATGATTGTTTTATTTTTTTATTTTTTACTTTACCAGACATTATTTTGTACTCAGAGAAGAGGCCTCACATGGCTGTGTCACATATAAATGTTGGACTAAACTCTTACTTGAACTCAGGAAAAGTTACTTGCTGCAAAGTAGTTTTGACCATGTTCCATTGCAAAAGTAGGTCTGACGTCCTATTTTGCATACCATTTCTTGTGTCTGGATTAAGCTGCTTCTTTGCAGATGTGTTTCCTCATCCTGGCTGCTCTGAACACACTGGGTCATGTTCAGAAAAGCCTCCTTCTCAGGTGGAAAAAATCAGGGACTGAGCTTGTCTTTCAAAGCCCAGATTCAGGAGCCATGCCTCTCGGTTCCAAAGGATGGGCTCCCTCTCATTCTGAAGATGACTGTGCTTTGAGGGGGAAGAAGTCTGTTTGGCGGTAGGGTTGGGTCTGGGTTTCGTGGTCTACCTTGTTAGGTGTGTGTCTGTGTGGCCACTGGTCTCAGTGGGTGAGGCTGGTCCACCTCTGTGTGGTTGGCTCTGGGTCTGGCCTTCACCGCATAAGCCCACGGCTCCCAGCTCCAGGGACAAGTGAGGACAGGCGTGGGTCCTCCCTACGGCTTCTGTGTGTTCTTAAAGGATTTTCTTTGAAACCCATTGTTTTTCTTCCTCCCCCTCCCCTCCCCTCCCCTCCCCTCCCCTCCCCTCCCCTCCCCTCCCCTCCCCTCCCCTCCCCTCCCCTCCTCTTTTCTGAGACAGGGTCTCACCTTGTCACCCAGGCTGGAGCATACTGGTCTGATCTTGCTGCAGCCTCAAACGAGCCTCCTGCCTCAGCCAGTGTATAGTTGGGGTTACAGGTGTTTATTTCTTTATATAATAAATAGTTCTTTTTTTTAGGAAAACATTGTTTCATGACTCGAGAACTTGAAGGAAACTTAGAGTTCATTCGGTCCTGCCACCTGTTTCATGTGGGATGCAGACGAGGCCCAGAGAGACCTACCAATTTGCCCAGGACTTCCCAGCTAGTTGGTTGTAGAAGGCAGGTTCCAGCTCAGCGTGGGTTTCATGGTGCTGTCCTGTCTGGATGTGAGAGTGAGAAACGATGTGAAAGCATGAGTGAGAAGAAAGAACCTCCCCTTTAGTTGGGTCCCCTCACCTGTCCTGTCCTGGCCAACCCTGTCTTGAGGTCATTCAAGTTTCCAGGTGGCAGCCCCAAAAACATCTGGCTTCAGAAAATGAACTCTTAAGTCCAGCCCACTTTCTCCATCTCCTTATGGAAAGCCCTTGCAAAACAAGCCTGGGGGCTCAACATTCATACCGTGTGTGTGTGTGTGTGTGTGTGTGTGTGTAAAAGGTAGATGGAGACACAGATCCAAGTGTGTGTGTGACAGACGGAGACAGATCTGAGTGTGTGTGTGTGTGTGAGAGAGATCCAAGAGTGTGTGTGTGAGTGAAAGGTAGATGGAGACAGACAGATCCAAGTGTGTGTGTGTGTGTGACAGAGAAAGAGACAGATCTGAGTGTGTGTGTGAGACAGATCCAAGTATGTGTGTGTGTGAGATCCGAGTGTGTGTGTGTGAGATCCAAGTGTGTGTGACAGATCCAAGAGTGTGTGTGAGAGAGATCCAAGTGTGTGTGACAGAGAGATCCAAGAGTGTGTGTGTGAGAGATCCAAGTGCGTGACAGAGAGAGATCCAAGAAAGTGTGTGAGAGAGATCCAAGTGTGTGTGACAGAGATCCAAGTGTGTGTGTGAGAGCCAAGTGTCTGTGTGTGTGTGAGAGAGATCCGTGTGTGTGTGTCTGTGTGTGTGAGTGAAAGGTAGATGGAGACAGATCCAAGTGTGTGTGTGTGTGTATGTGTGAGACAGATCCGAGTGTGTGTGTGAGAGATCCAAGTGTATGTGACAGAGAGATCCAAGAGTGTGTGTGTGTGAGAGATTCAAGTGTCTGTGTGTGTGTGAGAGATCCAAGTGTGTTTGTGTGTGTGTGTGAGTGAAAGGTAGATGGAGACAGGCAGATCCAAGTGTGTGTGTGTGTGTGTGACAGACAGATCCGAGTGTGTGTGTGTGTGATCCAATTGTGTGTGACAGAGAGAGATCCAAGTGTGTGTGAGAGATCCAAGTGTGTGTGACAGAGAGAGATCCAAGTGTGTGTGAGAGATCCAAGTGTGTGTGACAGAGAGAGATCCAAGAGTGTGTTAGAGAGATCCAAGTGTGTGTGACAGAGAGATCCAAGAGTATGTGTGTGAGATCCAAGTGTCTGTGTGTGTGTGAGAGATCCGTGTGTGTGTGTGTGAAAGATAGATGGAGACAGACAGATCCAAGTGTGTGTGTGTGACAGAGAGACAGATCCGAGTGTGCATGTGTGTGTGAGAGAGCCAAGTGTGTGTGTGTGAGTGAAAGGTAGATGGAGACGAAGGATCCAAGTGTGTGTGTGTGTGACAGAGAGACAGATCCGAGTGTGTGTGTGTGTGTGAGATCCAACTGTGTATGAGAGATCCAAGTGTGTGTGTGTGTGTGAAAGGTAGATGGAGACAGAAGGATCCAAGTGTGTGTATGTGACAGAGACAGATCTGAGTGTGTGTGAGAGAGATCCAAGTGTGTGTGTGTGTGTGAGTGAAAGGTAGATGGAGACAGAAGGATCCAAGTGTGTGTGTGTGTGTGTATGACAGAGAGAGAGACAGATCCGAGTGTGTGTGTGTGTGTGAGATCCGACTGTGTATGAGAGATCCAAGTGTGTGTGTGTGTGTGTGTGTGTGAAAGGTAGATGGAGACAGAAGGATCCAAGTGTGTGTATGTGACAGAGACAGATCCGAGTGTGTGTGAGAGAGAGATCCAAGTGTAAGTGTGTGTGTGTGTGTGTGAGTGAGAGGTAGATGGAGACAGAAGGATCCAAGTGTGTGTGTATGTGTGTGTGTGACAGAGAGAGAGACAGATCCGAGTGTGTGTGTGTGTGTGAGAGAGACAGACAGACAGACATATCCAAGGTTCTAATTAGAGATACCATGTTCAGTGGAAGCGGGTTCTGATCAATGTCACCTGCCCCACACGTGTCCCTGAAGGGCAGTGAAAGAGCGAGGGGCAGTTTAATTACCTAGGATGCAAAACAGCAGTCAGCCTCACTGCCTCAGCTGTTGGGGTGGCAGGGTGGAGTTGAGGGCCTCACTTGTTCTCACCTTTGCACCATCAGTCTCACATTTGTTATATGACAGCCATGTGCCCTGAACCCCTGTTGAGTAACGTGGAAGCCAGCTGCAGGCGTGGTCCACAGTCACATCCTTCAGAGATGACTGAACACCTCTGAAGGATGTGACTCCAACTTTCAGGTGGAGCACTCAGAAAGAGTGAAATAAAGTGAAACAGATCAACCAGCCTATTGAGTAGCGAATGCATTTTTTACAAGCAAGAACCAGGGACGGGGGGCAATATTATTTAGAATCCTTGATACACAGTTCCCAAAGAGAAAAATCCAGGCTTTGGTGACTCCCATGTGCCCTGCATGCCAAGAGTCTATGGCTCTGTGATAGAGTAAATAATTAACAAGCCTGATTTAATATAACAGCTGCCATACACCCTCATTTTAAAAATAGATGAGACAGTGTTTACATTTTCTCCACGTTCCCCATTTGGAAGTGTCTTAGTTTGCTTTGTGTTGCTGTAACAGAATACTACAGACTGGGCAATTTATAGACAATATAAATTAGTCTGGCTCATGGCTCTAGAGGCTAGGTAGTCCAAGAGCGTGGCACTGGCCTCTGGTGTGTTGTGTCATGGTGGGCGGGAGGGCACAAGAGCCAGACTTGCTTTGATGAAATCATTCTAGCAATGACTGATGCTCCTCTGATAATAACATTAAATCATTCATGACAACAGAACCCTCCTGACCAGTCACCTCTCAAAAGGTCCCACCTCTCAACACTGTTGCATTGGGATTAAGTTTCTTTCTACACATGCACTGTGGGGGACACATTCAAACTGTAGCAGTAAGTATTTGCTTTCTCGTAACATTTTTATAAAGAATTTATTTTCAGGCCGAGGCGGGTGGATCACAAGGTCAAGAGATCGAGACCATCCTGGTCAACATGGTGAAACCCCGTCTCTACTAAAAATATAAAAAATTAGCTGGGCATGGTGGCGTGTGCCTGTAATCCCAGCTACTCAGGAGGCCGAGGCAGGAGAATTGCCTGTACCCAGGAGGCGGAGGTTGTGGTGAGCCGAGATCGCGCCATTGCACTCCAGCCTGGGTAACAAGAGCGAAACTCTGTCTCAAAAAAAAAAAAAAGAATTTATTTTCAGCGTTTGTTACATCAGAATGGACATTATAGCAATTTCCATGGCTGTGCCTCTCCTGGCATATTTTAAAGTTCCCCCAGCCTGACTCCTCCCCTGTTAGGGTCTCTGGCATGGTACCTGCTGGAGAGTAGATACTTGATAATTATCTATAGGGTCCTAAGAGGATCTCCCAAAGGTAGTATTCAGACACCCCCAAGGCAGCTCTCATCACAAGAAAGAATGGTGGCCTGGGAGTGACCCATAAGGTTCCTTCAAACACCAATTCCTGAAGCCTCTTTCATTCATTATTGTTGGGACTTGTTTTTATTTCTGTTTCATTCTACATGACCCCAAATCTCTATGTGAACACTAGGAAGCTTTATCATGGGCTGAGGTGTATCTGAAGTAAACTCTCAGCTGTGTCTCTGGGATATGAAAGGTGCTTGCATTCTCTGTGGGGAATGTGGAGAGAAGGATTTGCAGTGTGTGGCCCTGGGAATGCAGAGGCAAGGCATGAGTTTCTGTTTGTTTTCCTGCTGTTGAAATACAATGCTAGGAATGGAGCTCTTGCTCTCAGATTGGGCTTGGAGCTGAAGGGAACCTGTCCACGCTCTGCACAGGAGAAAGAGCCACGCCCAGAGGAGGAAGCTGGAGTGCATCCTGGCACCTGCCACTCGGAAGACTGACGCACAAAAAACATCAGTGTTTAATTAATTTACAAAATGATCTTCCTACTTATCAGACACAGTCACTTTTCAATACGAGCAGAAGAATGAACTCCGCAGCCAAATGTATGTGTTGTGTCATACCCTTCACGTCATCTCTTCTACCTCCATTCGCTGGTCAAAG